GGGGGGGGGGCGGTCAAAGAAAAGAGTGAGCCCATACTTGCATGGCAGTTATGTTTGCCAGGTATATTCAAACACATTTTTCTTCCAATAGATCCTCCCCTCAACCTGTGATGAGGACACAACGACATTATCTCCATTTTACAGATGAGGACACAGAGGTTCACAGAAGTGAAATGCCCTATAGCAAAGCACGAATGTGTGTTATAACGGAGGTCTTCCATTCAGGGCTTTCTACACTTACACCATGATGCTTTTGGAGACAGCAAGATGCAGCAGAAATTTCTGCTTGGTCATAGTTTGGGGAATAGAAGGGGCTGATAAATACCTCTGGGAAAGAGGTACAAAAATGTACAGGAGAAACAGTGCCATCTATTTGGCCAGGGAAGAATCTGAGTCTCCCCAAATCTGTGTCCTGCGTGGGCAAACTCCATTTTGGGGGTGAGGTGGGGATGAGAGAGAGAGAGGATGGGCTCATCCCAGTCACAAGTAGATGGCAGAAGCGATCATCCTGTCTCGCTGCAGTTTTAGTTCTCCTTCTTCCCCCAATGTTACATCCTTTCACATTCACCCTTGCATCCTCATCTGAAGTTTAGAAACTGGGACTTTTGGTGGACAGAGAGGCATCCACCAATAATGGCCGCTGCAGACACTGCTCACACGAGAAAGCCTGTATGTTTAGATCTGGAATTCCAGGTGGCGCAAGTTAGCTTTTTCTTAATTTTTAAAGTTCCATATGTCTTTTCTTTTCTGATTTAAAGTGACTCTGCTCTTTTCATGATTCAGTCTCCCTGTCTCTGCAATTTAGGTTTTCAGTCATCTAGTTTGTTATGTTTGGCAAAGAATATTTGAGAAAAATCTCTCAAGAGAGTGGTGAACTTTATTAATCTTAAAATCTTGTGCGTGAAGAAAGGAAACAACAAATTTTTAATCAAAGTAAGCAATAATGACAGGTTTATTTAAAATTTCCAGTAGAGAAAACCCACTAGTTCTGGAATAAAAGTACTCAATGTACGAGAGCGTAAGTGAATATAAAAGATTAGCAGAAGAAAAATAAAACCAAACACAGTACAAAAAAACTTTAAAAGTTTGAAATGGATTTAAACTGAGATGTTCCTTAAATCCTCCAAATATTTAACAGAGTTACTAGGTTTGGCAAACAATTCACTTGAAAATTAAAGCCTATTTCTGTATTGTAAACTCCATAAAAACTCCTTATTAAATTCAAGCACTCCATACAATTGGTACTGAAACATACAGGCAGTCAATTTCAGAATAGTAGGAATTATTCATTTGCTCTCATAGTTATATGAATTAACCAGCTGCATAACTGTTTTTTGGAGAGGATGGGACAGAAGATGGAAAGAAAAAAAAAGGTAGGATAAAATCTCTAAAAAATTGAAACACAGCAAAATTCAGACCTCAGTTTGTTTCTTTAAAGCAACAAACTGAATTTTTACAGTATATTCTACATTTGTCATTTCCCTCTCCCCCCGCCCCCTCCAATACTCCTAAATCCACTAGTCTAATCAATTCTTAACTTCCAAATATTCTGTACATATATATTTAGCAAAGAGCATATACCTAACATTATTCTGACAGCATTATGGTCAGCATACAATTTTAGAAAGATTACTATGTATATCACCAAGATTAACCTTTACTTAAAAAAACGAACAAACAAAAACCATTACTAAACAAATAGTTTTAAAATATTATGAAAACCCATGCGAGAAGACTCCACATGGGCTCTAAACCTGATAAAAACACACGTCAGAAAGACTATTAATGCTCAGCTTCTGCCAAACGATGACCTTAAAGTGCCAAACACAACAGAATCTCTTAGGACCGTTTTTCCAATAGATGATTTGTCCCTGGCTTGGCCATCTCTCCTTTAACTATACACGAAGTCCTGCTAAAAGTATGCATTTTAGTTGATTTTACAATAGAATGTTACAATGTAAACTAAACAGGTTCTTGATATCAACAGTATGTTACCAGGTTTTTAAATTTCTGAATCCAACAGTTGGTCACAGAGGTCAAGTATTATCAAGGCTCCTTTGTCAGTTCAGATGGTGTCTGACTCATCCATCCTTCAAGTACATGCAAGGCTCAACAGTTTTCAAGAGGCAGAAGCCCGAGGCCGTTTTAAGACACAGATGAAATAGGATTATGAGGTGAACCCATCTGGGTAAGAACTTTATCCAGCCACTGGAGGGGGCCATGCAGATGGATCTCAATCCAGCAGGGGGTGCTAGTAACATCCTGGCGGTGGTATTCTGCTCCCCAACCCTAGAAACAACATGGGAGGTCATTTAACTTGTTTGACTCAGTGGTTAAACTTATGAAGTAAAGAGAGCTCACATAATCAGACACTCCGATTAAAGATCCGGTTCTCTCCACAAGACAAACCTGCACAAATGTGCACACATGATTTGGCAGGCAATTTCACAGCTCCCCAAAGGCCATCCATGGGTTCCAGATTAAGTACTGGTCTTGGGGAACGAAAGTTTTAAACTACATTATAAGGCTGTTGTAATAAAGATACTTTCTAACTTTCATTTTTATTGCCCATTATCTCACCGATAATATTGTGACAGATGTTGTTAAATTCTCATTTCATCATCAAGAAAATAAGGAAAAAGGTATGTAAGACACACTGACATTCTGTTTCTTCCTATTTAGCCACCACTGAAGTCTCTATAAACACAGAGCTTGACCTTTCAATCTCTAAGCAAAACTGGCAGGAGCATGTAAGTATCCAAAAATCTATTAGTAACACCTAGCCATTGCCTTGAATCATCTGTACAAGAGGGTAGCTTGCCAGGCATCTTCAGGGTTACTGAATTAGGATATGAAAGCTGACAGAAGCAAGTCCCTGTACAAAAGAGAAAAACAGTTTTGCCATTGCAAAGATCAAAACCTCACTGGTATGGTGGACGATGGCATACAAGGTCCTGATAAACGCTTGTTTCCTGAGGGATGTCAGACAAGGCCAGGTTCTATTTATCTCTGCTATCTACCTACGCCAGGAATTTCAAGAAATGTATCTGAATATCAGAACTTTCAAGAGAAAGCTGTGATACATGAATTGCATATGTATAAACATTCATGCATTTGTAAATACATCAACAAACTGCTAAGTTTAATCAAAAGATTTATGTGCATGTTTCCTACATTAGATAGTAAGTTCTTTGAAGGCAGAGACCAGATCTTATTTATCTTTGATCTCAAACATCTGGCACAGTGACTGGCACAAAGCAGAAGCTCCAGAAACACTTGTTAAGCTGAAATGACTTGGATTTTTCAGATATGCGGAGTTTACTGTGCAACTAATTTATAAAGTATGTGTTTTATATTAAAGTCCAAAAATGATCATCTTTTAAAAATAGTACAAAATTGGCTATTAATATTAGTAAAATGTTCTATATCCTTCCTCTAAGATGCTAAGTGTGAGAGGGCAAAGTATGCAGTCCTTCTGATAATAAAGAACAATGTTGTACCATGTGTAAAGTTTTTGTTGCTAATGTATAATAAAGTAGCTGCCCTTTATCATGTCAGCAGGGGGTTTAAAATAATGTTTATCTTTAACTCTCCAAATCCAGCTTCCTAGCTATGTCCGTTATAGCCTGTATAACCCTTCCTTCCAATACTTACCACTTTATATTATAATTAAACACAGACTGGGCCATGAGCATCTTGAAGCTAGAGACTTTAGGTGCTTTTTCATCTCTGTATTAATTCTCTGGAATGGTGCTAAAAATGTTTGCTGAATAAATGAAATCTAATACATTTTTAATGCATATCTTTGCATTATAAACACTTTTTATCAGCGTAACGGTGTTTTTTACTTGTGTAAAAGTCAATAATGAAAAATGTGTAAAAGTAAAATCATTAAAATTGATTGGGTAATCCATAAGAAATAAGTTTGAGGAGCAAGCCAATTAGAGCATTACAGTCATAAATTCTCCTAGAGTGGTCCTTCAATAACAATAGACTTATCAAGGGACCTCAGTAATGATCACCACAGTTCCCCAACTGCAGCCACCCTTTTTTTTTTTTTTTTTTC